GAAAGGGAGACGGAGCTCCGGCTTCTGAGCACCCATGGCTTCCTGGAAGTTTTGGAAATCATCGTCTGTACAGAATCAGCTTTGCCCATGTGGGCTGCAGCCCCGGGAGAGCTTTTTCCTTTGCTGTTTTTTTCCTCTGGCAGATGTTTGTGGAAATGTGACCTTTAATTCCTTAAAGACCCATCTCTCTGGAGTTAATTCCTCTTTTGAAGTCATAATCTTTTGTGTAGTGTTTTCTGGCCATCTTGACTGCAAGATGCGGAAGATTATTTGGACTTTTTGCGTGCCATTTGGGCCTAAAGATGGTAGCTTTCCTGGTTGGCGACAAAGACATGAAAGTGGTCAGTTTCCAAAGCCCACTGGAAATGGAATATACTTGTCGTAACGTCATCTGATTTAATTCTTTCACAGGTAACAGAGGTACTCCGAGGAGGCAGATGAATCTGATTTTCTTCTTGGGTATCTCCATTAGGATAGGTGTTTTCCCAGTGTTTATGAGGAGCAAAGATGCAGGCCAGCTTATGCTTGTAATTCCAGCACTTTGGGAGGCCAAGATGGGAGGATTGCTTGAGCCTAGGAGTTTGAGACCAGCTTAGGTAACATAATGAGACATCTTCTCTACAAAAAAATAAAATAAAATTAGCCGGCCATGGGTGTGGTCCCCCATAAGTCCCAGCTACGCGGGAGCTGAGGCAGAAGGATCGATCACCTAAACACAGGAGGTTGAGGCTGCATTAGCCATGATCATGCCACTGCACTTGACTCCAAAACAAATGAAAAGGCAAAGCTGCAAATTCTCAGGAACCCTCCAAGTTCTGAACATGACAGTTGGTCACGCAGGACCTATTGTCAGTGTTCAGTTGCTAGTGGAGAAAACCAAGAAGACCACGACTCACCACTTGATGATGCTTGCTCTGGCCGGGACCTGCAGTCCCATCCGGGTGCCAGGCGAATTCAGGAAACACACAAGATACATTCTTTGGAGCTGCATGAAATGATTACAGCCAAGGAGGGAAGGGAAGTGTCCAAAGATGTGGCTGCCCACCCTTCCTCCCTCCCTTGAGACCGGCCAATCAGAAAAGTGCCAGCCCTTCTGGAATTGTCAGGAAACAGCCCATCTTCGTGTGGTAAACTTGACCTGTGCAGTAGAATAACATGTTTTCCGACCGAGATCCATGTTGTCAGCCTCTCCTAGATCCGGTGGTAAGGACCACCCAGAGCGAGCACGCATGTCATAGAACAATACAGCCCGCTTGCTGAATAGGCACCTTGTGGTTGGAACGCTGGAAAGAAGCCTTGGATCACACTTGTGTTTATATTCTCTCGTTTTCTTGTTCTATTAAAGACATCCAAACAAATTTGGTGTGTGGGAAGGAAGGACACATTAGTAACGAGGAAAGTGCAGGCTCGCTAAGCCAGGGGAGTTTGTTCTACACATTCCTTCCTCTGTGCTGCCCAAGACATCGATGCCGAGTGACACGAGGAATGCGTTGTTCCAGACTCTTCTTCTGGGTGGATGGCAGAGAGTGGTGATGGGGGTGTGGGGAACCGCTCTACTTTTATCTGGAAAGAGGCCCAGGCACATCCTATGGCTTCCACAGCTGTGACATCAGGTCTGTGGTAATCTGGTCACCCTTGTATTCCTCGTGGTGCTAAGCCTGGTGACCTGCAGATCAGGCTGAAAAGTTATCCTAGAACATGTGGGTAAAGATAGATTTCATGGTATCCAAGAAGCCCACCCAGTCATGCCCCCAAGTAGAGACTTTTCTAGTAAGTTTAAGAGAAGAGCACTCATAATGGTAAAGAGCTTAAGTTCAAGTCCCCACACTGCCCTGCCTGCTGGCATGATGCCATTGGCACATCACTTACTTGTGCCAGCTTCATCAGTTAAAGTATTTATTTATTTATTTAGAGTTTGGAATTTCACGATGTCACCCAGCCTGGAGTGCAGTGGCACACTCCCAGCTACCACAGCCTCTACCTGCTGGGCTTAGGCAATCTTCTTCTGCCTCAGCCTCCTGAGTAGCTGGGACTACAGGCACGTGCTATTATGCCTGGCTAATTTTTTTGATTTATTGTAGAAACGAGGTCTCACCAACTTGCCCAGACTGGTCTCAGACCCCTGGGCTCAGGCAGTCATCTCACTTCTGCCTCCCAAAATGCTGGGATTACAGACATGAGCCACTACGCCTGGCTGACTAAAGCATTTAGAGTCTGGCATGTTAGAGGTACTTAATAAGTCACAGTCATTATTAGGCCTGCTTAGGTGAATTTACACAGGCGTTCCAACGTTAGGTGCTCTGTTGCCAGGTTCCGTGTACAGGAGCCCAAGGAACCCGGCTGGTGTTTAGCAGGGAGTGTTTGTGGTTGACTGGACCCTTGGCCCTTCAGGCCTCGACAGTCCACTCCAGACCTGACGCTTCTGTCCGTACTACAGTGGCCAGTGTCCGAGGGGCCTGATGAGAAACCTCTCGCTTCAGCAACACATCTCTGTGTACATGTCACATTATGGTAGGCGGGCCATGGGTGGGGTTCTTCAGCCGTCCTGCCATCATGGCCTTTCAGGTCTCAGTGGGCCTGGGTATTGAACACAGGGTTTCGAAGAGGTTCTGAATCCAAGAACTCTGCTGGTGGAACTCAACCTCGACCCAGGAAGCTGGTCTATAGTAAAGATAGTTCTTATTTGTTGAGTGGGCGTTGGCCCATCAGTGTTCCAGTTGTCCCAGGACAGGCCCATTTCCTCTCCCGACATTTCAAGACAATAGTTCCTAGTTTTGTTCTATGTTTTAGAAGAGGAGAGTGAGGCTCAGCAGAGCTGCCAGGGGTCCGACAAAAGTGACAACTGGTGTTTGAAGCTGAGAGTGTTGCTTGGGCCCGTGAACCACTGTGGCGCTGACAGACAGCTGTGGCCCAGTCCTCTCGTGACAATAATCAGCCCCAGGCAGCGTTTCAGTGACATGTAGTGCACATATATGGAGGGACCACCATGTACCCAACCCCTGGACACCCCCTCTAGAAGAGGCAGCACTGATCACATTGGTACCCTCCGGATGTGGAAATAAGGAGAGGAGGCAGCACTCAAAAGGAAACAAATAACTCAGTGAAGGGGGAGAGAACACTGCCTGTAGAGGGGATTTCTCAGCAAGGTTTTGACGATTACACCAGAGTTCACCAGGTGTTTCAAGGTGGGGCGTTCAGGCACAAGAAATGGCATGCAAAGAACAGAGGTATAAAACAGAAAGATTTTTTGTTTTTGAAGGTGGTACTGCAAGTGAAACTCAGGGGTAAGTATTGTGGGTTGAAATCAGAGACACAGAAAGAGCCAGCAGACACAGGGCCTGGTTTGCCATGCCAGGGGACTGGACTAAACCAGCAATGTGGGTGATTTGATTTCAGAGGTTTTTATTTTTGTTTTCTGAGTGATGGCCTCACTCTGTCACCCAAGGCCGCAGGACAGTGATCATGGCTTACCACAGTCCAGACTTCCTGGACTCAGGCAATCCATCTGCCTCAGCCTCCTGAGCACACCTGGCTAATTTTTTGAATTTTGTAGAGACAAGATCTTGTTATGTTGCCCAGGCTGGTCTCAAACTCCTGGACTCAAGTAATCCTCCCACTTCAGCCTCCCAAAGTGGTAGGCATGAGCCCTCAACCTGACCTCATTTCACAGTTTTAAAACAAGATTAAAATCCCCACACCTTGATGCATTTGGTAGCACTATTTTCCCCGGTCTTATTATAATTGTCGAAGAAAGAGAGCCCAAAAGCAAATGAGCTCTTTATATGATGTATATTGACCTTGTAAAGAATGTTGCTTTTTAATCTTCCACTCATTGCTCCATTTTTTCATCAGCAATTCCCTTTGGCAAACGTTATTCTCAGATGCCAGGATAAGTACTTTTGAGAGTTTTTGTTTTTGTTTTTTTAAATGTGTTTTTAAAGCAGCTTTTGATTGCATAAGAGCATCTTGTAGAACTGTTTCCAGTAGTATCTTTATAGCAGGAATGGAGGCTAAGACTGATTATGTAATTGTTCCCTTAATCTATTCTCAGAACCTAACATGTTGCCAGCAGATGAGAAGCCTAATGATCATGATGGCATTCGAGTGTCTTTCTGGCTCATAGTTTCTGGCGCTATTGCTCTGGTATTGTTTGCTGCAGAATAGAAATCAGTGGTTTCAGACCAGGCGTGGTGGCTCCTGCCTGTGATTCTAGCACTCTGGGAGGCTCGCTTGAGGCCAGAAGTTCAAGACCAGCCTGGGCAACTTAGTGAGACCTCATCTCTACAAAATGTCAAAAAAATTAGCGGGTGTGGTGGCATGTGCCTGTAGTCCCAGCTACTCGGGAGGCCGAGGCAGCAGGATTGCTTGAGCCTCAGAGTTTGAGACCAGCCGGGGCAACATAGTGAGGCCTTATCTCTACAAAATCCACTCCACCAAAAAAAAGTTAGCCAGGCATGGTGGCATGTGCCTGTAGTCCCTGGGAAGCTGAGGTAGGAGAATCCCCTGAGCCCAGGAGGTCAAGTCTATAGTGAGCCATGATCATACCACTGTCCTCCAACCCGGGCAACCGAATGAGATGCCAACTCAAAAAAAGAAAAACAAAATCGAGAAATCAGTGGTTTCAATGTGGCAAGACTGTTTCCCCAGCACTGGCCACCCCAGACTCAGCTCTGTCTGCTCCATCCAGCATGTGCAGCCCATAGCCAGCAAGCCTCCCTGGAGAAGGGACTCCTGTACACTCACAAGAGAGAGAGAGACCCTCGCTGGTGTCTCACGTGTTAATATCCGTCTGAGGAGAGGCCGCCTGCCTCTGCCGTGCCGTGGCTGCGTTTTGCAAGGGGAGCAGAATCCCATCTGTCAGAGGAGGTGGCGGAAGCTTGCGGGGACTGCTGTGAATTCCATGAATGCTTAATTGCTGTAGATCTTTTTTTTTTTTTTAATTTGAGCCTTTGCATTTAGTTAGTCTGTTTGTTGTTTGTTCTTTTTTTTTTATTTTGTAGAATAGTCCTTATCAGTGGCAGAAGATCCTTCTGTAGTATATTTTCGGTGCTGCCGTACCGGGATAGTACCCAGGTCGGGTATGTATCTGCATGCATGCTTTGTAGTTCTCTGGGTGAAAAGGTCTCCCCCCATGTGCCTAATGTGACTCCCCTTTCCATTTCAAGAACTTGTCTTGCTTTGACACTGCAAATTCAGTATTTGTAAATTTGAAAGACAAGAAGAAGGTTTCTACTTTCTTTTCAGCCAGAAAGCTTCCTTGTCCTTGTCCTTGTCCTTGTCGTGTGTGTGTGTTTGTGTGTGTGTGTGTGTCCATCTTATTGCCTGTTCTTTCTAAATGCATATTTTTGTCACCTTGTCTGATACCATAAAGTAAGAACATCACAGAGCCACCATGTTCTGCGGGGTCACACCGGCTTTTGGAGCAAAGGTAGGTTCAGGAAAAGAATTGGGCCAAACCCTGTGACCATCTCATCCCCTTGAATCTTGGACTTGGGGTGGGAAACTGACCTGCAGCCAGAGCTGCCACCGCAGGGCAATGTCAAAGCAAAGTGGTGCCAGACCTGATGTGTGTAACTGGCTACAGGCCAGAGGAACGCTCTCCTCTCTAGATCAACACACCCTTTTGCTCCGAAAAACAGTAAGTACATGCCCTGTACTTCCTCTTCCTCTGCGGCTAGACTCCCGGCTTCCCTCATGCTCTCATGCGCCCAGGGTCTATCATCAGGGTGCTGCTGGCATTGAGGGCAGGGCAGGCCACTACGAAGAATGTTGAGAGCATCATGGGATCTTGGCCCTGGCCTCTGGTCTTTGTGACAGCCAAACACTACAGACATGTGACTGCGGCCCCCAGGAGGGCTGTATGGCGGTGCTGGTCCACTGTGTATTCATCCTTCACGATCTCCATGAACTCTGCCCCGGGCGCTCCTGCTGGTCATGACCTCCCCTTTCCCCCAGAGACCTGTCGGACTTGGCCTGTTTGATTCATGGTCCTTATCTGTGCTCTACGCTGTCGACTCTATGGGACAGAAAACCGCACCTCTTCCTTCATGGCGTCCTGACTCAGTCATAGATTCAATGTGTACCATAACGAGCAATAATAATCCTACTGCTTTTTGAGCACACACTTGGTGCTGGTCCTTTTCATTATCTGCATCCTTCCAAAAACCTTGCAGCACAGGTGTTCTGGAAAAAGTGACAGGAAATTCCTGCAGCTTGGAGGTTTAAGGACCATCTGTGGATGGCCGGTGGGCTGCCCCAGAGAGATATCATGGGGAAGTTTTCCTCATGTGCCCAGCCTGCTGTGGCCCTGAGTCTGGTTGCATCAGAAGGGCAGGCTCATTCTCTGAAACCAGTTCAGTGCCAGTTCACAGGTCTGGTGTATGATGCAGCAGGCCAATTTTTCATCTTATTGCAAGTAATGACCTCAGAGCCCAGAATATTTGCATGTGACCAGCCTGTGCACACACCTCCAGGGTATATATGTTACCAGTAGGTGACTCCTTGCGTGCACGTCCTTCATGGCCAGAGCTCGAATGGCACTGCAGTGTCTGCTTCATTTCTCTGGGCTTCCTGGGCTGACCTTTCTGATGGACACGTTCTTTCCTTAGCTCTGTCCCATTCAGTCATTTATTGAATACTATGTGACCAGGCACCAGGGACAAAGGCAGAGAAGCATGGATGGGTTCTTGTCCTCCTTACCTTACAGCTTAGCAGAGGAGACACATGAAAATGGCACCTGCAGGCCAGGTGCGGTGGCTCAAGCCTGCAATCCCAGTACTTTGGGAGGCCAAGGCAAGAGGACTGACTGAGCTCAGGGGTTTGAGACCAGCCTGGGCAACTTGGTGAGCCCTCGTCTTTACAATAAATCAAAAAATAAGCTGGGTGTGGTGGCATGCACCTGTAGTTCCAGCTACTTGGAAGGTTAAGGCGGAAGGATCTCCGGAGCCCAGCAGGTCAAGGCTGTGGGGGGCTATGAGTGAGCTACTGCACTCCAGTCTGGGCAACAGAGTGAGACTTCAACTCAAAAAAAAAAAAAGAGAGAGAGAAAGAAAATGACACCCACAACTCATGACAACTTTTAAGGAATGCTGAAAGTGCCCAGTCAAGTCTTCCTTGCCAATGACTTACCGTTTAAGACAGTTTGATTTCTCCACACATTTTTTCATCTTTGAAGTGTTTGTGTTAGTTTTATTCTCAAATGGCGATCTTACTTCCAAGTTCTGGGGTCCCAAGTGCTTATCTGCATTTTAAAGATAAAATGACTGATCCTGCTGGGCTCGGTGGCTCAGCCTTTAATCCCGCGCCTTGGGAGGCCAAGGTGAGTGGATTGCCTGAGCCCGTGGGTTCAAGACCCTCCTGGGCAACTTGGTGAGACCTCATCTCTACAAT